TAAATAATAAAAGGTATGATTTTTTATATACAGGGTGCCCAATTTTCGTGTGTCTTACAGGACTTTACTAGGATATTTAGAAAAAGCATTTTTTACAAATAATTTGGTACCACATACTTGGTATTTTGGAGCCAAATTGTCATTATTTTTATGGCCATGGCACTCTAAATTAAAATTTAAAATGCTTTTTTAGCCGACCATACCAACAGGTATGGTAGTTGAAATAGGTATGGTAGTGTCAAAATGAGTTATTTGGGTCAAAAATAACCTAAATATAAAATATTTTCATGGTGTCTGTCTGTCTGTCCGTCTGTAACACGATAACTCAAAAATCGCTAAACCGATTTTAACCAAATTTGGCACAAATATACTGTGGCACCCAAGAATCTGGCCATTAGTTTTGGTGGGGGTAGTAAGGGGGTATGGGAGAGGGTTAAAAATTTAAAAAAATATCGTAACTCCAAAATTACAGTAGCTAGCGAAACGCGGTTTTCAATTTAAGATTAGGAATAATATTTGCAACAAAATTTGTAATAACATCAAGTTGGCATAAAGTTGACATATCCTATGTCATTTTTTATCAAATGAATTAAAAAAAAATCCCAAGATTGTCATTTAAAAATTCAAATTTGTAGGCATTTCCCGTGAAACAGGAAGTAACCAAAAACAATTGAATAAGTCAATCAATCCTAATTTATGTCATATACTGACATACCAAATCTCGTTTTTTTAACTGAAAAAATAAAAAAGTGGTAGTGGTGAGCCAGTTTTGAAACGCACCCGGTAGAGCTATTTCGGAGGCCTGGGTCGTCCTGTATTAAATCTATTATCTATTAATAATCGTTCTATTACACGGTCAAAAAAAAACGGCGCGCGGCGTCTCAGTAATCCCTAAGTGACAATCGAAGATAATTTTTGTCAGGCCAATCTCTAAATATATGTTAAAATTTTTACAGAAACTACTAAAAAGAAAATGATAACCGTTATTTCTAGTCTGGTGGTTTATAACAAAATCAATATATTTATTCAATTAAAAAATGTGTATTTTACGTCTCAGTTATTTCAAATAATTGCAGCTTCTGTTTTGTACGTATTACTGATGCATAAAATATCGCTAACAAATGTATCCGATTAGTAAGCTTGACTGCAAAGCGTTATATCATGGATTTTATGTAATGTTTTTCTGTTTATTCTTTTAATTTATATACAATGTTAATCATAAAGTCGAGGAAAAAAATGGGAAAAAATAAAAATTTTATCGATTCTCAAAATAACAAGTATGTCATTATTCATGCAGTGTTAGCTATTGGTTATTAGTTTAAAAAATGTGCTATCTAATACCGGGTCCAGACCAAGGCGACAAAAAGTAAACACGATTTTGAGACAAAAACAAGACAAACTTGAGACAAATTGTCCACACCGCAAGGACAAAAGTACAACAAAGTCAAAAGTTTAGTTGTTGCGAATAAGTTTTATTAACCATGTGTGATTTCATTGGTCCCCTACTCTTGGCTGCATGCGCCATCCACAATGCGCCGACAACTTGTCGTAAAATATACGAACAAAACATAGACACTTTGATCTTTACCGACTCGAGACGGGACATTGAAAAGTCTCCGAATTTTGAAACAAAACAAAAATGAGACAAAAATGTATTGGATTTGTCGCAATTTTGTCGTAAAACATTAATGTTTCTGTTTTGCCGTTGTTTTGTCTGTTTGGTCTGGACCCGGCATAATACACCTATAATATACAGTGTACAAAAATATAATTTTAATTTAATTCCTGTTATACCGGAAATTACTATAACTTTTGATTTTTAAATGGCACCCTCGGTATTTTTTTACTTTATTTCATAGAAAATGATACTCGGAATAGAATGACATGTCATATGTCAACGTTTGACATATTCAGTGAAAACAATTGTATTTTAAATTTTAATCGAGATGCCATGGCTGTGTTAAAACACCAATTTTTAATCAAGGAGCCTTGGAAAAATAGATTTGATCGTCTAATGTTTTTAGTGGTCTAATGGTTTGTCCTGGTCGGTTAAAAGATGCCCAAATCGTATTTATAATCATATCTCAATTTTTTCAAATGGAACGAGGGTGGCTCATTAGCATATTAGGAAAAAGTAAAAATACATAAATACCATTGCCATCACATTACGTTAAATATAGAGCTTCTTGGAAGCCTGGTTTACGCTGTTTGGAACATTTTAGAGCAGCAGCAAATTTAAAACTACTTCACCAAAATACAAATAAATTTTAATGTCACCCTGCAATATATCGCTATTATTAACCTACTATTAAACTCCAGAACTTTCGGTTTTGTTGCCCGTTATCGAATACAGAAATGGAGATTAATGTACCATTTTTCAAACCTCTCTAGACCATTGAGAGGAAAAACCAGACAGAAACTCTTCCTTTTCTGTTTCTCCGTAATTTTTAGAAGCGAAATCCGATTGATACGTTAGCAGGATTAATGGTAGATACCTGAAATACATTAATCACGAACGAAGATAAAAGAAAAATACATTTTTGTGTAGTGGAGTGCTTATTTTATTTGTTATTACATTATTACACTTTGTTTATCAGCAAATAGACATATTACTTGAAATCAAGCAAATGCAGGTTATGATAAGGACAAACATAGTATTTCGTTTAAGTTTAGAAAAAATAACTTTGTACTAGTAAATCAAGTTTAGTTGTATAGAGTGTCTCAAACAAGTGCGAGTGGACAAGAATAAACGGTATTTTTTAAATTAAAAATTACTTTCTGGGAGGGGTAATTATCCTTATGAATAAAACAAATACTTCGATTATTTGTATTCGAATAGTTCCTTCACTACTTTTTGGATTTTCTATGTCGAAATATTTCCAATAGGCTTGGTACATTCTCCGCCGGTGCTGCCTCCATCGGAGAATATCGTAAACAATTGGTGTATACCTACAAATACACGGGTTTAAATACCGAGTATACGAAAAATTTATTATATAATTATTATAAAAGTGTTAGGAAGTATAATTTGTGAAAATTCTAAAAGTAAAATAAAAATACTTTTTTTATACAAGACGATAAAATACCATATTAACCGAAAAGATTAATTCTCGAGCGATGAAATCGCGAGTGAATTAATTTCGGGAGACGATAATGCAATTTTATCGTCGTGTATAAAACAATATTTTTTTCCATAGCGAGTTACGTTATAAAAAAATATTCAGAAATTATTATTTCACGGAATTTATTACGAGTAGAAAAAATATTGTGCTGGGTTGGCGTTGGTTTCTATGTAATTTGACAAATAAATAAAGCTGTCTCTTTAGTTGTCAGTTTTGAGTTAATATTTTTTAATTCTCTTTCATTGCTGATTGAATTGGAGCCAGAAATGGCTCAGAACGAAATAAGTAAATTACCAACAGATATTCAGGCTGAGGCGACAAACGCCATATTCAAACTACTTCCATTTAAATCCCGAATAACTTATGAAAAGGAATACAAAAATGTTCAAAAATGGAAGCCATTAAAAAACGTACGAGAAGAAATCAAGTTTTTATCCTCTCCTCGCTGTTAAAGTATCATTTAATCTATTCTTGCGGTTAAAGTAGGTACTAGAGCAAGTACTATTTTATCTACTATTTTTGATAGATATAAGGCAATTTTAACAGTTGCTATGGAAAAAGCTTCTTATTCAAAGGGAAAAAGTAAATACTTTGATATCTTAAGTAAGGTCTAACTTGTTGAATTATAAAATTATTATTCCAGCTAAAAATAAATTAGATGAGTTAAACTATGGTAGCGAGCATAGTTTTACGCACCGGTTTTGCTAGTGGGGTCGTAATAATTGAGGCTATTTCGGCTATAACGAAATTTTTTAAAGGTACATAATTATAATTTTTTTTAATAAAACATTTTTATCACTAGTTGATTAAAAAAATATACCATTAATATTGCACCATGGTACAAAGAAAACAAGGTATGATCGATAGCGGCTCCAATTTCGTTAAGTTTGCGCATACCACTTGTGACGTCATACGCCCTACAAAAAATATCCATGTTGTTCAATTGCCACTAATAAAAAAAGACCTAAAATAGGGAAGAATTAAGACATAAACCCCAAAAGTTATGTCAAATCATCGAGCTTGACATTTGAAAAATTATTTTCACATTTATTTTGTCAACTGTTTGACAATTTGAAATTGGCGCGCGGAGCTTGCCGACCAATGGTACCGTTTATCACCTGTGACGTAGTGCCCAACCTGCGCAATATCATACCTTGTATTCTTTGTATCATGATATTGCACATTATATTACATCCTCTCATAGAATATGTCTATTTTTTTTATTATCTAACGAGCACTTTGTTTACTCACTTGTTTCGTCGAACTGCTTAAATCCAATTTTGCTTTTGATCAAATCGGTGTGAGAAACTATGAAGCTATAAAATGCTGTTTCTGGGAGATTGATTATGAATGGGAGAGTTGATTATTCGGGAAAGTTGAGTTATTGAATGTTATTGCACTCAAAAACGCCCTAATTACGCTCTCCTTTACGCGTTAACATTCGGCAATTTTATTAACGTTTGAAATTGTCACAACAAACATGACGCTTAGTTCGGATTCTTTTACACTTATTTTTTACTACCCGAAACAGCGTTAAATCACACAAACCTCGTAACTGAGTGTTTTATAGTTTTACTAACTCCTCTAGCAAAACCTGAAATATTTAAATATTATGACAAAGCCACGATTTCAATATTATTTTAATGCGATCAACATGAACTTTAACTGGGACGGCGTGATATACATAGCGAAAATTTCTGATTTCTGCCGTATACAGCGCTGGGGTCGGAATTTTTTGAAATCAACTGAAATGCACCTTACTCGTTGGCCATACTCTACGCAGCAAAATGAGTCAGGTGGTGAGCTAGAGTTCTATGTTATATGAAGGTATATTATTGTAGATATCCTATTGTTGACTTATTCATGTTTATATTTCAGATTGTCGAGCAACTCTCGCACAGAACATGCCACCTTTCAACATGCCAACGAGACCAACAACGAACTCAACAGGAATTCACTTAAAAGCGATTCATCTCGGGTCCACACTCCAGCTAACGCGGTTACGAAACCAGCCTTTTCGCCAACGAATGTTGAACAGCCTACTTCTAATGAAAGAATGGTAAGGAATTATTGAATTTGATGAGCTGTCAACGAAAAATCTGATTGTTTCTCTATACTGTTTGATTAGGAGTAAAAATGATTTTTTTTGAGACAAGGCTTTACGTTTGAGACATTACAGGCGAGGCACAAAAAGTCATTTTTACTTCGAATAGAACATGCTATTTTTTATTTCAAACGTCTCAATATAAAAAAGTTATTTTCACGCTTAGGCATAAAAGTGTATCACTTTTACGCTTAAGCATAAAAGTACGAAAAAATATTATTAAACTGACATAACGTGTCAAATTCAACGAGTGTAGCCATAGTTTCTCGACATATAATTACTTACAAGCCTAGATCATATCTTACAAGGCATTTAAATCTTTTATTTACAACCGCATATGAAATACTGACATATTGACTTTTAAAAAATTTGAAAGTGTTAAATTATCTACATTTTTTCCCTCTTCCATTTCCCCCACCCACTTCCCTCATCTATTTTCCTCACCCATTTCCCTCACTCGGTTTTTCTTATTTCTCGCCTCATGTAATTAAGCAAAATATTCTTGTAATATCTTTATTAAATACTTCTATCTAAATTATTAATACTAATCTAACATCAAAAAAAAATAAACAAGAATATTAACAATAATAATTGAAGATTTTAATACATTTATTTGTTGAAGTAAAAAATGCTAGACTTCTTTGGCTTAAAACCTACATTCTGGCTTTTAAAAAAGCGACGAGTTTGTGATATTTTGATATATCTGTCTTTTCCCTTAATTCTAGCATTGTCCGTATCATGCTGCCGTACCAAAGAGTAGATGGCTTTTTCTGCCTTGCCATCTCGCTAAAATATGCCGTCAAGAGTGTCTCCAGCAATATTCTTAGCATTTCTTTCGGCACAACATTTTTCGTATACTTTCAATGCTATTTCATATCGCCCCAACTTTTCTCTGGAAGTAAACTGGCCTCTGCTCTTTTCGCAGCTTCTTGCCTGCGTGGAATTAATTTCTATATTAGCAGTTCAAGGCAAGAAACTTATATATAATTTTATTATATACCTAAAAACTGCAAGAAATTTATTTTCCATTATATATTTTGGGCTAGCCGAAAAAAGCCTTTATTTACTATCGATAGTTGTGCCTCGGTGGTACGAAAGTACTACCATTGCACATAGGCCACTATCTCGCGATGCGGGACTTAATATCTTACCGCTACTTTACGACAAGTCGTATGTATATACTCTGCGCTGTGCTCTTCGTTTTGTGGAAATACCCAAGCTCACCTGATGATGGGGTAGGGCCCCGAAACCGGTAGTGAGAGCAGGTTGATCCACATTATGACGAACACAGCGTGGAATTAATTTCTATATTAGCAGTTCAAGGCAAGAAACCCTTATATCATTTTATTATATACCTAAAAACTGCAAGAAATTTATTTTCCATTAAAGTTACTCTGATATACTAATATATCAGGGTAACTTTAAAAATAAATCCTTTGCATTCAAATATAAACATAAAAACATTTACAGCAGAAAAGGCGAAGGCGCCGGGTTAAACGTAGTCTCCACTAAAAACATGGAGGGGCGCTTTGACCCAAAATTTTTCTATTAAGTTTCATATCTATCTTAATAGTAGATTATTTTCTTTTATCTATGGCCATAACAACTGGTACCGGTAACTATAGATATGGAAATGCCAAAACAGAAAACGACAAATTTTCGCATATTTATTTTTTTTAAATAGAATACTGTCCCTATTTTTTAATTAATGATGTGGTTGTAAATAAAATAGTATACAAACCTCGGAGGAAAGTTTTCATTATTGTCTGGAGATTTAGTTAATCTCTCGACAGTAATGAAACACTTCCTTCCTCGGTATGTAATATACTATTATATTATTTGCAACGCTTGACATTATTTAAAAAATTATTTGTGACTTTAGAAAATAAAATAGCATGTTCTATTCGGAGCAAAAGAGCCATTTTGTACAAAAGGTATCATTTTTACCCCTAATTAAACAATATATTAGTTTTAAACAATTTCAAACGTTCCAAATAATATCAAAATATTTAAAAGTAATAACTTGTATGTAATTAAACAGGGTGACTGCTAAATAAGTGCAAATATTTTCAGGGCTTGTAGATCTCGATAAAAGCAACATATTTTCTCTTTACCGTTTTTCAAATAAGTCCAAAATAACGGAGTTATTTTACTTTTTAGAGAAAAATTTCCGAAAAAAGATATTTTTTTGCTAAAATTTTGAGTCCCACTAGATCTTTTCTGGGTTTTAATTCTTGTAAATTTAATCTATTGTCTATGTTGCCATATTATCAAGAAATTATGTTTTTTAAAAAAAGTTCAAATTTTCAAAAAATAATTCTGGGGTCGAAATATACTACCCTTAAAAATAGTTTGTAGTTATATACAGGGTGTTTCAAAACAAATGCGAAAAACTTCAGGGGGTGATTCCTTGTTCAAAATAAAGGGTAGTTTGCTTCATAAACGTTGGGTCAAAAGTCAACCATTAGGGAGATATCGCGGTAAAAAGATGGCGGAAAAATAATGTTCTTATTTTTTATCTTGAAAACGAAAAAAGATAGACTAATGAAATTTTATGGAAGCATTACTGTTATGAAAACACAGTTTCTGGTAATTTTTTCACTTTTTTAAAACGAGTGGAAGGGGTTGAAATAAACTATGCCTATCATTCTTGTTAACGAAATTTAAAGAAAAATCTTATCAAACACATGCAAAAAATTTAATTTGGATAGTTTAGTTTGTTTAGAAACTTTTTTATCTCTTGTATTTTTTTTATAAAACTCACCGATTTGAAATTAAAAAATAAAATGTAAAGCATTACATGTCAGGACTAAAAATATTTTTAGATTAATAATATAGTGATAATAATGATAATAATAATCTAGATAATAACATATTGCAGTAGGGTAATGTCAAAATAAAACAATATTAGAAACATCCTAAAGTGACAGCGGCCGACTAGATTTTTTCCTAAAAAATTATTACAGCTGCCCACTAGATTCTTTATCTAAAAATGTTTTTTGTCCTGACATGTAATGCTTTACATTTTATTTTTTAATTTCAAATCGGTGAGTTTTATCAAAAAAACACAAGAGATAAAAAAGTTTCTAAATAAACTAAACTATCAAAATTATTTTTTTTTGCATGTGTTTGATAAGATTTTTCTTTAAATTTCATTATAAAAGAATGATAGGGGTAGTTTATTTCAACTCATTTTAAAAAGGTGAAAAAATTACCAGAAAGTGTGTTTTCATAACAGTAATGCTTCCGTAAAATTTCATTAGTCTATCTCTTTTCGTTTTCAAGATAAAAAATAAAAACATTATTTTTCCGCCATCTTTGTACCGCGATATCTCCCTAATGGTTGACTTTTGACCCAACGTTTATAAAGCAAACTACCCTTTATTTTGAACAAGGAATCACCCCCTGAAGTTTTTCGCATTTGTTTTGAAACACCCTGTATACAGGGTGGTCCGAACTGTATTCCGGAAAGTACGGCAGCATATTCTGGAGATAAAAATAGGTAAAAAAGTTCATATAAATGTATGTCCGAAAATGCTTAGTTTCGGAGATATAGGGTATAGAAGTTTCATTTTTATTTCGATTTTTTCCTAATAATTTCTGAAGTAACGTCAATATTTGGATGAAAATTGGTGTCTGGGGTTTTTTTGACATGACAAATTTGATTTTGATATCAATATGGCTCCTATTTGTAGGTGACACCACCTACATGTGTTTTAAATGTTTTGAAGAGTAATAACTTTTTGTCCGTACCTGTATAAAACTACTGAGTAAAAAAATATATATTTCCGTAACTTTTTACGTAATAAATATCTCTTGGTAAAAATCGCTACGAGCAACCGTTCTCAAGATATTTAGAATTGAAATAGTCAATACATGCCATTATTGACAAAAAATGAACCCGTTGAATAGATAGTTATTTGCCTGAAATAATAAATTTGGGAAATTTTTATTTTCCTAAATTAATCATAATTTTTTATAAACATACATAAGATAAAACAGTTTCTGTTGAACTTTTGGCACAAAAACATTTCAAATTTATGATTTCAGTCTAATAACTATTTAGTTGACATGTTTAATTTATGTCAATGATAGTAGGTATTGATAATTTCGATTCCAAATATCTCGAGAACTATTACTCATAGCGATTTTTACCAAGAGATTTTTTTTACGCAAAAAATGCCTTAAATGTATATTTTTTTACTTAATAGTTTTATAAAGGTACGAACGAAAAGTTATTACTCTTCAAACCAGTTAAAAAATATGTAGGTGGCACCTCCTATAAGTAGGAGCCATGTTGACATGAAAATCAAATTTCTCATGTCAAAAAAACCATCAAACCAATTTTTATACAAATATTGACGTTGCTTCAGAAATAATTTGGAAAAAATAGAAATAAAATTGAAACTTCTACACCCTGTGTCTCCGAAACTAAGCATTTTAAGACATATATTTATACGAACTTTTTTACTTATTTTTATCTGTAGAATATGTGACCGAAGTTTCCGGAATACAGTTCGGACCAGTCTGTATATAATTTAGTTGTACTTATTTAGGACTCACCTTGTATATTGAGAAATTGATTATGCTCGTTGAGTTTGACACTTTTTCTGTTAAACGGTCGTTAAGACATAATGAATTTCCTGCTGCAATATTTTCATTAAACTAATAAATTAGAAAATAAACTTCTATGTTATCTCTATTATTACAACTGACAACTGACGGATCTAGAGACAGAATTCGAACTTTTATGTCTTATCGATATCAAGTTATATAGAATGTCATCTTGTAGGAGGCTAATAATTAGCTATAAAATATGTGTAAAAATTTTATGATCAGTTTAGTACTTGCAATAAAATTCCGTCTGTATTCCAACCAAAAATAAAAAATAATACGTCAAATATTTCAGCTTTCGAAGACCTATTATTAGGATAAAATTAACAAAAAAAACATAAAAATAAATTAGAGTATAAATTTTTACTTTTTTAAATCTAGCATTAATCCAAACGAATAAAACAAATTTGGGTTAGTGAATATAAAATAACTTAATGATACTTTTTGATTACCTATACGTATTCCTATAACCTAAAATAAATCGTTTTTAAGTTATATATGATGTAGTTTTAAAGCGTATATTTTTTCTGGTTTTTCACTAGTAGCCTATGACTTTAAACGTCAAACGATGTAAAACAATATATCTAGCCATGTCATATTGCGACACTTTATTAAAAAATCAGTATGTCATCGATCGTCATTTCCAAGCCAACTTTGCGCCGTTTTTTCGATCATATGCTATATTTTATTAATATCAACTATTAAATATCACTGATATACAAGGTATATTTTTATAAATACACTTTATAAAGTTCTAGCGGCAGTATCTATACTATATCTACGATATACAAATAATTAGTTTTTTGACAGAAGGAAATAAATTGTCTGATTGTTTGACATTTGATGTCAAAGGAAGCTAGATAAAATCAAGAAAAATTAGAACTAAATCTTATACAGGGTGGCGCACCTCATTCGCCTCGGTTGATTATACGAAAACGGAAAGATGTAGAAACAAAATATTTTATGTGTATATGTGGGGAGACAATGTGCACAATTTAAAATTGTTTTGAAATATACAGGGTGTTTCAGAACTAAGATCCATACCAAAGTTATATTTTTTCTTATGGAACACCCGGTATTTTATTTAATTTTTGGATTCTTGGGCCCAAAAAAAGGCATTTATTATAAGGGTTAAATCTATTTAAAATCTTTGGTTTTTGAGATATTTAAAGATATTTAAATTTGCATGCTACAATAGAATAGACTATTAACACCCTGTACATTACTTTTCTATTTCGGTATTTTATTTAATTTTTGGATTCTTGGGCCCAAAAAAAGGCATTTATTATAAGGGTTAAATATATTTAAAATCTTTGGTTTTTGAGATATTTAAATTTGCATGCTACAATAGAATAGACTATTAACACCCTGTACATTACTTTTCAGAATTAATTCTTATGCTGAGTTTAAAGGTAGAGAAATAAACTTTACTGAAAATGGTATTGGTTCCTTAAATTTATACAGGGTTATCAAAAGTTGCTGATCTAAGGGTTTGCTATACCTATCTATCTTAGATTTTGAATAAAAAGCGATTTTTAAATGAAACTGCAATCAAGATGGCTGGTGTCGCCATGGCAATTTTCTAATGACAGTTAGTAACTATTTTTCATTCAGTTTTATTTTTTTTTATTCATTAGTTTATGGACATTATTATTTATAATTTATAACAGTTTACTTAAATTTGCCTACAATAGTTTAATAAGTAAGTATTCATTATTTTAAAAAGAAAAATAAAGCGGTATCTACTGGCGGAACGAATAGATATGTTACTAGTGATATTATTTTGTGAGGAAAATTGCCTCAAGGGCTTATGCTCAAAGACATCCAAATAGGAATCTTCCTGATAAGCGTTTCTTGGAAAAACTTCTTGTCCTATTTCGCAAAGCTGGTAGTTTATAAAAAAACTTATTAGGCAGAAACTTGTCGTTGGAAGTGAATGAATTTGCCGTAATTGGATATTTTATAGAAAATCCATATATATATCTACAAGTCACCGTAAAATAATTCAAAGAACTACTTCTTCGTTTTTCTTGATAGAATAATATACAGATATTTAATAAATATTATTTATTAAACTATTGTAGGTAAATTAAATAAAAGTAAACTGGTATAAATTTAAATATGTCCATAAACTAATTTCGATTTTGAAAATATCTACTAACTGTCACTAGAAACTTGCCATGACAACACTAGCCATCTTGATTACAATTTTATTGAAAAATCGTTTTTTATTCAAAATCTGAGCCAGATAGGTATAGGAAACCCTGATATAGTTTGAAAGAGCATTTAAATCTGCTTCGACTTATTTAAAAAAATATATAGTGTTGCGTTTGAAATAACGAAGTTTTTATGTAAAATAAATATTTAAAATAGACCAGCAATTTTTGATACACGTCCTTAAATGTATACTTAAGGAAGGAATAACAATTTTCTGTAAAGTTTATTTCTTTTTTTTTTGATAGACACATGTCTGCTTTTTTTGTCACAGTGGCTGTAGTAATCACTAAATTTGGCGTTTAGGCTATACAAATTCTTTTTGACAGGCAGTTTTTTCCCCCAAAAAATTCAAATCTTTAAAAAAAAAGGTTAATTTTAGGTATAGAGTGCTTGATATCAAAATTCATAAAATTTTATAGAGAATTTAAGTATATAATCAAAAATGGGCCTGCCCATTTAATATAAGAAAGATCTCTATTATGAAGCAATGATGTGCAACACATCTCCGATCTAGATATTGTAGTTCTGTAGAAATCTCTTCTAATGCACGCTCAGCCTCGGACACCCTGTATCTCCTCTTTATTGACATTCTTTTAATACACCCATAACCATTTTTTTTTAAATATAAAATTATATATAATTTAAAATATAAAAACTGTAGCATTTATTTTTTGTATTTGTCTTATATCATTTCTTAAATTTAACCATGTGACATTTTATAGGTCTCGCCAAAAAGAAAAGTGGAACATTTCCAGCACTTGTACGTGGCAAACAACGTAAAAACGTCTACGTTTAGTGAGCAAATCGAAAAAAACAATCTCTCCAACAACAAAAGCAATTTGAACAATAGCGCCGAATACGGTTGCTCTCATTCCTCAATAAATATGGTAAGGAAAATTTAATAGACACTTATAGAATTGGTAGAGAGCTTATTGTTGAAAAATAATTAAAATTACTTGTTTCTTGTAATCATTTCTCAAAATAAATATGTGCGTATCATAAAAGAATAAATTATGAATATTTACCTAAAGATATTTAGTTACTTTAGCTGATCATCCCTTTTAGCAACTTGAAACACTAGTTTTAAGAAGAATATTTCATCTTCAATATTGAGTCAAAACCGGCTTTTAAATATACAGGGTGAGTCTTAAATAAGTGAAAATATTTATAGGTGTTGTATATTTCGACACCAGGAACACTTCTATGACATTTTTTTTGGCAAAAAATATGTTGAATCGTGCATTTTTTTAATTTTCCTATATATTTTATAAAAATTTTTAGAACTGCAAATTTTCCACTGTATAATTTTTTAATATGGTTACGACACTAAAAGAGATCTAAATACAGAAAAAATCCGGTGGCTCTCCATTTTTTTCAAAAATAAATTATATTTTTAATTTCAATCTGGAATAACTCGGTTATTTTGGACTTATTTGAAAAACGGTAAAGAGAAAATATGTTTCTTTTATCGAGATCTATCAGTCTTGAAAATATTCTCAGTTATTTAAGACTCACCCTGTATAGGGTTCGATATAGGGTATTTAAATTTTCAAATAAAAAAATCATTTTTTTTAATAAAAAAAAATTCGAACCTCTGAAAATATTTAAACTAAATTAGATATACTATATATTTTACAGTGGTATGTTGCTTTTGTTTCTATACAGGGTGGTCCGAATTGGAATCGGGAAACTTTGCTAAAACGTTGCCGAAATTTCCGGACTATAATTAGCACCACCCTGTAGATTAATATCTGTTGTATATTTTTGTATTATCTAGGTGCCTGAGAGGGACACGGGACCAAATAAAGGTCCTATAAATGCTTTTGGCAATTTAAGAATTGCCCAGAATCAGTTGGTGTCAAAATTTGGTGGTGATTTTAATTCTCCCGACGAACATAGAATGGTTTCAAGCAGAAAACACTATCATGTTAGTGTCCAAGAACTTAGAATGCAGGTAAGACTAGTTATTTAAATACCGGGTGCGTCTTAAAAGTGGCTCATCCCTATAACTTTTTTATTTTTTTCACATAATAAAACGAGATTTGGTATTTTAGTAGATAACATAAATTAGAATTGATTGGACGTATTCAATTGTTTTTGGTCACTTCCTGTTTCACCTGGAATGACTACAACTTTTGATTTTTAAATGACACCCTTTTTTACTCTAACTCAATAGAAAATGACATTCTGAATAGAATGACATATCATATGTCAACTTTTGACATTTTCTCATATGGTTTATTCGAAAACGACAATTTGACTCGAAATACCAAGTGTGTGGTACCAAATTATTCGTAAAAAATGCTTTTTCAAATATGTCAATGAGCCACCCTTGTTCCATTTGAAAAACTTGAGATATGATTAAAAATACGATTTAAGTATCTTTTAACCGGTCAGGACAAGACAACAAAAACTTTAATGCGCATTCTCACGACTCGTGTACTTGACAAACATTTGTTATTGGAATATACTCGGCATGTCGTGAGACCGGCTTCCTTGGTCACTCGTCGCGTCCCCACTCTCTGTAGGTAAATATAGCCCGAGTCAAAGTACCACAATAATTATTCGTACACTTGCCAAGTGTACCTGGCCAGCCTTGTCAATACTTGCCGAGGCTCAAAAAAACGACTGCGCAAATAATTGTACTGTTATAGAGTAGGTCCCGTTTATTTCCGGATCGTAGTGTTTTTCGAGTTAATTTTGGATAATTTAAAACGTTAAAACAATAATAGATTATATAATATCAAATTTACATTAATAATTTCAATATTGGCGACATACCTCTTACTTAAATATTAATTTTCTTCCTACAACAAAAAAATCATAGAGAAAGTTTAAAAAATCATAGTTTAAATTTAGGTTTTAAAAAAAACCTTTTTGTTTAAACCTTTAATTGAACATCCCTGGTTTAAAAAATCATAGTTTAAATTTAGGTTTTAAAAAAAACCTTTTTGTTTAAACCTTTAATTGAACATCCCTGGTTTTCCCCTTTTTTGTTTGCATTTTGACATTTTTATTTCGGTATTTCAGAATATGGCAATAATTCACAATATTAATAATTCAGAGTTAGTAGTAAGATATGTTAGAAATTATTCAACCGAAAATTACATATTTCTTTAAAAAACACTAAATTGCATTTTTCTCGGCACCAACAAAACTGGGTTTTCACGTGTAGTCTTCAAATTATGTTGTTCTGGAATTTATGGATTTATACGAAAATGAGCCCTTCATATGGATGACCAAATATAAAGAACATAGAAATCGTATTGCAGTGTAAGGTAAAAGAACTTAAAAAGAAAAAAGAGTCACTAGCAACGACAATTTCGGGACCACTGGTATCCATGGATGTGACTATACTGTTTACTTGCCAAGGTTTAACAATGTTTGTGCTGGCGTACTTGTTGAAATGGACACGTCGTGTGAGCGCCACACTTACCAATGTTCTTTACAAAGTGGGGACTGGTGGGGATACTTGCCAAGTACGCAAATATTGGTGTACTTGCCAAGTAGACGAGTCGTGAGAGTGCACCCTTAGGCGATGAAATCTATTTTTCCAAGGTTACGTGATTAAAATTTATTGTTTTTAACATAGCCATGGCACTCTAGATTGAAATTTAAAATACGATTTTTTATAATGTCATTGATATGTCATTCATAGGTCATATGATATGTCATTCTGTTCAGAATGTCATTTTCTATCGAATAAAGTAAAAATACCGAGGGTGTCATTTAAAAATCAAAAGCTGTAGTCATTTCCGGTGAAACAGGAATCGACAAGAAACAATTGAATACGTCCATCAATCCTATTTTATGTCACATACTAACATACTAAATCTCGTTTTTTTATGTAAAAATATAAAAAAGCTATAGGGGTGAGCCACTTTTGAGACGCATTCGGTATAGAGATTTTTCCTTAACGTTCTTTTTCCCATCAAATTACAGCAATGCAGCAACAGTTCGTCTGACGACAACCGATCATCCGGACATGCAAGCATGTCGGACACCGGAAACACGTCGCCTAGAGGTCTGTGTACTTCCGGCAGCGATCGTCTCAACGCCAGCGTGCTTCAAAAGCCGATCAGGAACAAAATAGCCGCACAACATAATAGGTCCAGACATAGGGCCACACCTGCCAGAGTAAGTATTTAACCTAGATCTTATACCGTGTGGTGCATCGGAACACGGGACATAGAAAATTCTATGTGGATTTTGAAAAGTCAAATATCTCCCCAGGTGGTTTTATGCAAAAGTTGTATTAGACTTTTTTGAAGAGGTTTTAAAATACACACATGGCCAAAATTATTGCATATATCGTTTAAAAATATCCGGAAAGGAATTTAAAGAATCTTTTTTTATACATAGCTTTGATAATCTGTAATAAACATTTTTTTGTTAAAATAGATATGGTAAACAACGTTTGTCGTTCAGACCCAATATTATTACAGATCCTTGCACATTTCGATTTGTGGTCTTTTGGGTTTCAGAAGAAATTTGACCATTGTTTTGGCCTTAAAATGCCTAGAAACATTATTTCACAGTTTAATAGAGTCAAAATAGTAACACTGTCTCAACAGGGCTACCGGTAAGTTGCAATAGCTGAAATTGTAGGAGTTAACCAAAGCGATGTATCGCGAATATTAAAAAAAATCAGGGAGACAGACGAGGTTACAGACCGGCCTGGAAGAGGTAGAAAGAGAGTTACTACTACTGTGCAAGACCGTCAAATATCCCTAATTGCACGACGAAATCTCCTGCTTTCTAGTACTGCTATAAAAAATGAGTTAGCTCGCCTTGAAGGAGTAAATGTTTCAAGAAATACCATAGCAAGGCTCCATGACAGAGGATGACTCCATGACATTTAAGGAGGCTTCTACGTGTTCCGAAGCTTAATTTACAGCACAAAATTACGCGACTACAATGGGCTGAGGAGATGAGAGCAAATGGACCTAATTGGAATTTCGTCAGTTTAGTGATGAAACAAGAATAGGCCTATATATAGTGTCAGACTCGCGACGAACTTTGGTCTGGAGAGCATATGGAAGACGAGTACGCTTGAATTCAGCTCAACCCCGTGTCCCGTTTCAAGGGGGAAGCATTATGGTATGGACAGGTATAATGCACCGAGCTCGAACTTCTCTTCTTTTTATTGATGGCACAATGACAGGTGCCTCATATCTTAGAGACGTTTTAGAGCCTATTGTGCGTCCATTTCGAAGGGCAGTGGGGGATGAATTTGTTTACACGGACAATAATGCTCCTCCCCATCTCACTTTAGCGGTTCGCGAATTTTGTGAGGAAGAGGGCATAAGAAAACTGTGGTGGCCAGATATGATCTGTGATCGAGCATGCTTGAGACCTGCTAAAATGCCATATTGCCAAAAGGAATGATCCCCCCCCGTACCTTAAATGAATTAAAAATTGCTGCGCGCGAAATATTGGAAGCCATTCCTCAACATCTTCTGGACAACTTAATTGAGAGCATGCCACATCGTCTCACAGCTTGCATTGAGGCTCGAGGAGGCAATGCAGACTATTAGTTGTGAGAAATAATTAATATTGTTTTCGATATTTTCTGTTTAAAATTAAATTTGTTTTTGTTTAGACAAGATTTTGGTTCCTTCAAATTTTTGTAAACAAAATGTGAAATCGAATTTGACAATGACACAATCACATTTTTGCTGGTATTTTAATTGTAGCTTTCTCAGGGTCGTATTATAAATTTTACTAATGTGAAGGTAGATTTTTGCAAATAATTTTTAAATGATTGTTCCAAATGAAACGAAATTCTAGAAAAAAGTACAACTTTAACGCCTCTTCAAAAAAGTCAATTATCTGGGGATGTAATATTTGACCTTTTCAAAATTGGTGTGGGATTTCCTATGACCCGTGTGTTCCGATGCACTACACGGTATATAGTTCCTGTTTACTGTGTTTTAATTTTATTATGTATATTTCCAAATAATTATTAATATACTACTCAAATGAAAAATATTACAATTCATTTCACAAAATACACGTGTACAGTTTTATTTAAATTGTTTAAAGTTTTTGGAGGCCACTAACAAATATTTTTCTTTATTCCATTTTTAAAACAAAAACTGACAATAAACGGATGAATTCATTCGTCCATTACCCAATTATTAAAAAATAGGATCCGATGACATCGATAAAATAACAATAAATCCTTTTCATCTTTTCAAAAATTTAAATTGACGTTTTGTTAAAAAGTGCTGAATATGTTTTTGCAGGAAAATCAGAAGCTGGTTTTATTAATAAAAAAATAGGTACAGGGTTACCAATTTTTTTGGAAGAATATTTTTTTGGAAAAAAAAACTCATGGGCCTCAACCTCATGTCTCTGCGATAGACGCAGAGGAACCAGTTAAAATAGACATCCTGGTTTAAATACTATTTTCTGAGATTACTTGGTTATCATAAAATGTTTAATGTAAATGTTAAATGTAAATGCGTTTTTCTGCATGTCATATCGACACTGTTTATAATTCTATATTAAAATTTAAAAAACGTTAAAAAATAAAGATACAGGTTTCGTTTTAATAAATATTAGTAACACTAGAAGAACTAAGGATATTAAAAAAATAACTGTAATAACCAAGTGTAAAAACAAACAAAAAACATGTAAAAATACTTTTTATTGCTTCCCCTGGCTGCTCTAACTGTCCGTAGACTTCATGGTTCATGCTGTTACTTACAGGACCAAGCGAATATTCATAATTTCGGCCATCTTCAACAAGATCAATGACTTTTATACAATCTTCGACACCAAGAACCATATTCAATCGTACACAACAACAATCACCAAAGCTACCTCGCCATTATGAAGAACATCAAAAAGTACCGATAATTGAAAATATTGCAAAATGTTTGTGGCAAGTTCATTTTGCTCTTAAAAATTAACCAAGGCATGTGTTGACATGAGTCAAGAAACAAAATATTCAGGAGACATTGTTTTAACCGAAAAATAATGTTTTAGGAAAATTTGCACACGAAATTATTGCACAGGGTGTTTTAAAGATACGGTAAAAAACAATTATTCGATTAACCCTGTATAATAAGTCAAAATACTAAAGTTTATAATCAAGTGAGTTTACGAATTAAAGGTGATATATTTATGTACAGTTTGCTAAAAAATCAAGGAAGTAGGGCTAAAAATAAAAAATATAACAATTTAAACTAGGCCAAACATTTTTCCGTTGTTTTGTTTTATCTGAGTATATTTTTTTTATTTTGACTGTTCTCGAACCATTTTTTTCCTTTTCAGTTACATGTCCCTTGGTCAGGATCTGGAGGACTAGAAGACATCAAACTAGCACTCCAGCAACTCACGATGAGATCTCATACCTCCACTAGCACGTACTCAAGTGTCAGTGCTGGTTCAGAAAGCTCAGAACCAGCAATTAGACGACTCATGAGACATTCCTCACTTGAAACCATCAATACGAACATAACCAGTGCTGATGAGTTTGTTTGGGTCGACTCACATAACAGGTATACATTGTGTTAAAAAATATTAAAGGGTATGGCCGGATTAATATGGAAAATCTGCCCTCGTGGCTTGTTTGACTCGCACTCCGGACGATTTGGTGTCGAATCAAAATAATTCACCTAAATTTTTAGCTCTTTAAATCAAAAGGTTTTCGAGATTTTCAAAAAAAATTGTTTTTTCAATTTTCTTTTTATTTTTATAGTAAAATTCAAAATTAATTAATAATGATTTTTTTTCTAATTCTTAGAAGTCTAAGACAAGAAAAAATAATATGATCATGATTCTTAATCGAACAGCCGATTTTTAGCGGAGGAAAGAAAATTAAAATCTTTATTTTTTTTACCTTTGTGAAATATGTCACTCACATCTGCTCGGACTCGTTTTTTTATAATAATCTTTATGTTTATTTCTGGCAAGGATGTATTTTTAATGAAAAAATATTTTCTACCCACTTTTTTAAACTAAACAAAAATGTAAGTTAGTTAAAACAGAAGATTTTAAAGAAAAAAAAAAGATTTTTTAATTTTTTTCATATTGTTCCACCACTTCAAAAAATTCTAAAAAAATCCTGAGTGTAACGGAGTATAAAATACATTTTCAGACGATTTTTGTTGAGTGCAGTGGCGGCTCGTGACCCGTGTGACTGGGTAGGCGACAAAATTTTAGTTGCGTCTATTTGCCCTCCCCGGCGTGTTCTGAAATACAACCGGTTATATCATTTTTAATAATCTCGGACAAGCCCGAAAAATGTTTCCAATTTGCTTTAAACGTTTTTTGAATTTTCATATAAAAGTTTTAAATGTTACGTATAATGAATCATATGAAATATCCCCTTAACGAAATGTGATATATCTCTTTATGAAATATCCGGCATATCCCTTCAACATCTAAGCCTATGAAGCCTCCACGAGACTTCATGCGAAGGCGACCGGAGATTTCGCCTAAGCCCCGCCTTAATATGATACAACTCGGACTTACGTCGCGTCGCTACCGCACGATGAGTTAGACAAAGATAGAAGACTGCCGTACGTCGTGCATCGACTCTGGTAGTAGGCGATGTAGAAATCGCCGAATCGCGTTTGTTCCAACGGTCAAAATTATTTTGTTTTCTAACGCAGCGGCACAGTCAGCGGTCACCGTACTGACCGTACGCCCGCCAGCGGTAGTGTTAATATACAAGACCACAAATATTAAAATAATATTGATTATTAAAACACACTTTCGTGTATTAACAGTATTTTTATGTATTGGTAACATTAATAGTAAATAATGTAATGTAATAAATCGCTTAAATTCTGTCAAAATCTTAGGTTAGGCGCCGCCTACCTTGCCTACCCTGACGAGCCGCCACTGAGTGAGTGACATATTTCACAAAGGTTAAAAAAATGAAAATTTTAATTTTCTTTTCTCCGCTAAAAATTAGCTTTTCGTTTAAGAATCATGATCTTATTCTTTTTTCATGTCTTAGACTTCTAAGAATTAGAAAAAAAATTATCATTAATTAATTTTGAATTTTACTATAAAAATAAAAATAAAATTGAAAAAACAGATTTTTTTGAAAATCTCGAAAACCGTTTGAGTTAAAGAGCTAAAAATTTAGGCGAATTATTTTGATTCGACACCAAATCGATCCCCTGAGTGAGGGTCAAAAAAGCCGCGGGGGCAGATTTCCTATATTAATCCGGCTATACCCTTTAACACTCATATTCTTTGAATAAGTCTGAAGTGCTTAAGCAAAAAGAATTATTGCTTTAAATAACACACGCTGTACAGCGAGAAAAAATAATTCGCTTATGCAAAATAGGCAATAAATTGTGACAGGAATAAAATGAAAGTAAAAAGCTGTGCCAAGAGAAAAATACATATTCATATATTCTTATAAGGACCTATGGCGCGCTGTAAAAAATCTAATACCGAATTCATAAATAAAACGGCATAAATAAATTCCTGTTTCACCGGAAGTGACAACAGCCTTTGATTTTTAAATGACACCATCTGTATTTTTTGACTTTATTCGATGGAAAATGAATGAATAGATTGATATATAAGATGTCAATACGTTTGACATTTTCGCATATGGTTTATTTGTAACATGCGGTTCATAATGACAAGTGTGTGGTTCCAAATTTTTTGTAAAAAATGTTTTTTTTTCGGATACGCTAATGAGCCAGCCTTGTTCCTTTTGAAAAAAAATTGAGATATGATTGAAAATACGATTTGGGCATCTTTCAACCGGCCAGGATAAAGGTTGATTCTCACTACCTTCCGTTACTATTCCATATCCATTCCATATCCATTCCATATCCATTCCATATCCATTCCATATCCATTCCATATCCATTCCATATCCATTCCATATCCATTCCATATCCATTCCATATCCATTCCATATCCATTCCATATCCATTCCATATCCATTCCATATCCATTCCATATCCATTCCATATCCATTCCATATCCATTCCATATCCATTCCATATCCATTCCATATCCATTCCATATCCATTCCATATCCATTCCATATCCATTCCATATCCATTCCATATCCATTCCATATCCATTCCATATCCATTCCATATCCATTCCATATCCATTCCATATCCATTCCATATCCATTCCATATCCATTCCATATCCATTCCATATCCATTCCATATCCATTCCATATCCATTCCATATCCATTCCATATCCATTCCATATCCATTCCATATCCATTCCATATCCATTCCATATCCATTCCATATCCATTCCATATCCATTCCATATCCGTTCCGTATTTTATTGTATTGACGCTATACGTAAGCTTCCGTTTTGTATGAGTTCCATATTTTTTATTGTACAATCATTACGAAAGTTTTATTTTAAAAATGTGTGTCTTTTGAAGAAAGTAATAGATTTAATTAAGAGGTGAAATAATAAATAAATATCAGCAAAATGTTAACAGAGCTGGTACAAATGTAAGAACTTGACAACGCTGTTTCCGATACGCTTCAGTCCGTCCGCTAAAAAAATGTATGGAAGGAAAGAATATGTAACGGAAGGGAAACGGAACGGATAGTGTGCATTGTCCTATTCATTTACATGATATACTATATTTTTGTAAACGGAAGGGAGCTGATATGGAAGGTATAGTGAAAATCAACCTTAAGATATAAAAAAACATTAGACTCCCAAATCTATTTTTCCAAGGCTCCTGATTAAAAATTAGTGTTTTTAACTCAGCCACGGCACTCTATATTGATATTTAAAATACGATTTTTAATCGAAAAAGTCAAAAATTGACATGTGATATGTTATTTTAGAGTGTCATTTTCTATCGAATAAAGTAAAAAATACAGAGAGTATCATTTAAAAATCAAAAGTTGTAATGATTTCATGGTATAACTTTGTTCTGGTTATATAGCCATTAAACTGGCAAGACTTTACAAGATGAGGTACAATCAGATTTTCTTTAAAAATGAACACTAATAAATGTGAAAATTATATATAATTGAATATTTTCAAAATCGTTATATCTTTAAAATCACTAAAGAAGACGCCAACAAACCTTAAATTTTGAAAACCATAGAAAATGTATTTAAAAAGCGCGATTTATATCAAAATTTGACAGTTCACATGAATTTTGACATGAACCCCTGTTGTACAAACTGAGTTTTTGCAGCAAAACCATACGAAGCTTTATAAATAATTTTAACTTTCTAAATTTTATATTTCAGACTTGTAGAGCTGCAACATCTACCCTGGACCAATCACTGTATTTTAAGAGTCTTACAGTCAGGAAGATGCAAAGAACATATGTCTAGACTGAGCGTAGAAACAATACCAAGGCTCTCTTATTTACTTCAACGAGCCTTGGTTCGAATGAGTAGGGAGACCCAAAGATTATCATCCACATTAGGAATTTGTACAAAACATGATATTACGGTAAATGTATTGTCAACTACCTACCTTAGATCGTAATACAGGGTGTCCCAGAAATAAGTACACGTTGGGGTGGTAGATCTGGCCAAAAGAAACATATTTTCTCTTTAACATTTTTAAAATAAATTGATAATAACCGAGTTATTTAACTTTGAAAATTAAATAAATAATGGCAACATTTTGAGAGTCGCCAGCCGCAATCGATAATCAGCCGCAAATACCAAGCAATTACCAGAATCTCAGCTTGTTTGACGCCCAGTGTTACCACATCGAGTAGAATGATTTAAAAACGACTTGGAAAATTCAGATTAGAAGTAAAAAAAATACCTATTAAGAAAAAGGGACTCTGATAGATAACAGATCGATGTAATTAGGGTAGAGTATCGTTTTATCATTTTGCCTAAAACCGCAACTCTACACTTAACAACACTTCATTTCACTGGGATTCTTGACAGCACTACACTTACACGTGTATTTGGCACAAAATACATTCATATGCCATTTGAATTATTTAGGATTATTTTTTGAGAATTTAAAATCATCTGTTTTTCTATCCCACACTCTTGTTAAACACCAAAATATAAGTGTTTTTACAGGCTTATCTTACATTTGCCTATTTGTTAGTTTTATCAGAGGTTTATTATTTTGAGTAAAGTTATTTTATGTTATTATGAAAATTTCAAGAAAAATATAAAAAATTCAATTTTTTTTTCGCAAAAAACCTTGTGCGTGTTACAGGGGTTGAACTATAGGCTTGGTGCATTCTCCGCCGGTGCTGCCACCGCCGGAGAATATCGTAAATAACGAATACATACAAATACACGGGTTTAAATGGCGAGTAAACGAAAAAATTAGTATATAAGTATTCTAAAAGTGTTAGAAAGTATAATTTGTGGAAATTCTAAATAAAAAAATAAAAAGGTAAATATTTTGATATCTTCAGAAGGTCTAACTTGCATTATATTTTATTATTCCATTTAAAAAAAAATAGAGGAGTTCAACTACGGTAGCGAGCATAGTTTTATCACCGGTTTTGCTAGTGGGGCATAATTGGAGCTATTTCGGCTATAACGAAATTTTTTAAAGGTACATAATTATAATTTTAGATGTTCATAAAACATTTAATCACTAGTTAATTAAAAAAGTATAGCATTAATATTGCAAATTATATTCATTCTCTCATAGTATATGTCTATTTAATTTTTTGATTATTTAACGGGCACTTTGTTTACTCACTTGTTCCGTCGAACTGCTTGAATCCATTTTTGCTATTGATCAATTTGTTGTAAGAGATTATAAAGTTATAAAATGTTGTTTCGTGATAGTTCAATATCCGGGAAAGTTGAGTTATTGAATGTTATTGCACCCAACAACGCCCTAATTACGCTCTCCTTTACGCGTTAACATTTTTTACGCAATTTTATTAAAATTTCAAATTGTCACAACACAATAAGACGCCTAGTTTAGCGTTATATCACACAAACCTCGTATCGGAGTGTTTTATAGTTTCAATAACTGCACTAGCAAAAAACTAAAATACTTAAATATCATGACAAAACCCCGCGATTTCAATATTATTTTCATGCCATCGACATGACGGCGCGGCGGCGTGAACTATATATTGATAATTTCTGATTTCTGCCGTAGAGTGCGCTGCGGTCGGAATTTGTTGAAATCAACTGAAATGCCCCAAGCCTATACTACCAGTTAAAATACTTGCACTTTTTTCTGGGATACCTTGTATAATTTTTTAACAGATTTTTACTGTAGTTGGTACAATGTAGATCATAAATATAACTCATAATTGACGTCATATTGGGGGAAATCAAAACAGTATACATACTTTTTGTCTTGTTTGTTTAGGTGTCCTTTCGAATAGTTTTGTGTCCGCCGTTAGCAGATTCTTGTATCAAAGCATGTCTGAGAGCTGCCGCTATGTTATCAGTTTCTGGGGACTGTACTTTGAAACAGAGCAAATCGTCCAGGGCAGGACTTCAGCTGCAAGTTGGCCGATTTCATAGGTGGATGGCCGATGTTAACTTAGCCAGATTTATACATGAGTAAGTATTTGCTTTCTTTTAAGTTGTGGACAATAATTGAAATCTTGAGACATTGTAATTTTAACATGAAAAAAAAACTATTCCTACTGAAGGAATAAATAGTAAAAACGGTGTCGTGAATACTTTTTGTTTTTATTTTTTTTGTTTTTTAATGATAATTGTTGTTATTGACTGATTTTATAGTATATCTTTACAATATATTCCGTAACGCATAATGCAATAATTAAAAAAATTGGTCAAGTGCGAATGGGACTCGCGCACGAAGGGTTCCGTACCATTCATTATCTATACAACATTAGACACTATATTATTATAAACTTTTTTTCCGATTTAGCTGAAATTTTGAATGCGCATAAGTAATTTAAAAAAAAATTAAGAAACACATTACTAAAAATTGTATTAAACAATAATAAATGTGTAAAAAGTAAAAATACATAATATGTAAAAATATTAAAAATTAAAAAAAACTATTAAAAAAAGTCGCCTTGACAAGGATTCGAGCCTGCCTTACTATGGCTCTAACGTCACAGCAGCGTAAAGTCCTAACGCTTTATACCACGCGGCCACCGAGGACTTGACAGATTCTATGTAAAATTCCTTTATTTATGAACATGATTTATTTATAAACATTTATTTAATTCTGTTTTTAGTATTTGTTCTTATAGCGGCAACATAGATACATTATTTGTAAAAATTTCAACTATCTAGCTAAAACGGTTCATAAGATAGATCTTTGTGACAGACGGACGGACGGACAGCGAAGTCTTAGTAATAGGGTTCCCGTTTTTACCCTTTCGGTACGGAACCCTAAAAAGGGTGTCTTGAGTACTGTTTGTTTTTACTTACTTTATTTTTTTGTTTTATAATGATAATTGTTGTTATTGACTGATTTTATAGTATATTTTTTACAAGATATTCCGTAACGCATAATGCAATAATTAAAAAAAACTCCTATGGGTATTTAGCCACTCACACTCTAAAACAGCGTACACACTATGCCAGAAACAACCCGAAACATGTCAAGGTCGCATTTCGTCGCCCAACTTTTAACGCATTTCGATCTATTTCCAGTTGTCTTGACCCACTTCGCTTTGCCTCGATCTACTTTCGATTCTTAAAAGCGCCTGAAAACTACTCGTTAAGCGAGGGGGGATTTTTTTTAGCGTTTTTTGTTGCCTCGTTCAATTTTGTTTTGTTTTGAGCTATTTATAAAACGTGACGGTATCTGTACCGGAGGCAAAGGATTTTTTTTTCATAAATCCAATGAAATAAGTAAACCTAGACGTTTCGAAAATAGCTGTTGTTACGATGATACCGTATGATCGAAAAAAAACGGCGTCCAGTTGGCTGGGAAATGAACATCAATGACATTTCCCATATAAATTTACATATAAAATGATAGCGATCTTCATTGCATAGCCATCGCTGACGCCGTTTTTTCTGGATCATACGGTATTTCGTTAATTACATCTCGTTTTATGTTATATTGATATATATTCCACAGCATTAATATTTGAACACGTAGATATTTAGGGACAAAACTTTTCACTTAAACTGCAAGAATATAATTAAAATATTTTATATGATTTAATTTTATTATAATGAATTAGTATATAAAATTGTATATGATATGTTTGTTTACGGCTTTAATTGATTAATATTACAGTAGTAATGCTTGATGAGTAATACTGGTAACATTATCAATATATTCGCTTGTGAAAATTATTAATTGACCCGATGTCAACAAAAGTATGGTCCACGCACATTATTTAAAAGCAATGTTCTTTTATTGTTCTTAAGAAAAATCTGCAAACGATACTTGTATTAGCACCCAGGATGGTTTTATATAAATCCATAACAACTAATATTTATTATGCAGGTGATTTAGACAATTAAAACTAGAAAAACAAAACCAAATTCGTGCACTAAACTTTGCTACAGACAACAGTATAAATAAAGCAAACTTTACCATAACCAGAAATAAAAAATAATTAGACGATTTTTTAAATAATTTTGTGTATATTTTGTTCACGAGGCGCAATACCGTGGATTATAAGCCGATAAATGGTAGACCCATAGATTTAGGAAGAACAGATATCACATTATGAATTTTAACCCGATCAAACATTCGGAGGTTGACTACGTACTGTAAAAACCAACTGAGATAGAGAAGGCGACATTGCCACATATCAAATTTGCGCCTATCTACTTAGTTTGATTTGCACAAAAGGTGATTTTAAAACCTTCACCGGATATCAATAAATCTCAATTTCTTAATTAAATTAATAGTTTATTTTTAAAGAAGCATGCGTAATAATATGTTATTAACCAGAGGATATATGCGTTACTATTAAAGGACATGTTTACTGTTTAATGTGCTGAAATATCTAGAACTATTGGCGACGTCGCTGCTAGTCTTCCAAAATGAAATGAGCCGTCCGTCCCACCTCCCTTCGCGACGGCCATTGGTCCGTTATAGCGTACTACGTTTAGCTTACGGTGTGTTTGAAGTCGGAACTTTGCCGTCCGAAGTGAACTTTTCAGTATTTTTCAGTAGGTTTTGTTTTTCTTTAACGTACTGAATCTGCGAATTTTCAATATGGTACGACAGTGTCAAGTGTGTGGAAAAATAAGCTCAAATTACCCAAATTTGTCTTTTTACAGGCATTGTAGATATTGTTTTGACGTTTTATATGCCGCCGTAATTGTACATAGGCGTCCCACAAGGGAGCCTCTCACAATTAAAATAATTTCTAATTATATGTGTTGAATTTTGATCTATTAAAACAAGAACGTAGTAGCCGGCAATTAATTTATAATTCGTCTCAATTACTACCTAACTGTTGTAGATCATAACAAATTTGAATATAAACGTTGCATTTGAAACTTTATTATAAGCCAGAAAGTGACATTTTTTTTCTTAAAATTTGCGTCATATTTTGGTCATTATATACTATATTCTAAAGGAATTTTGCTCAACAAATAAACAGAGGTGTTTACCAGACCTTTTTTACATTTTATTGCTTTATTATATCTGCCCCTTCGGCCTTGTTTAGACAATTTTTTACCACCGTACAAATACATCTTCCTAGAGTTATTTGTACGGTGTGTTTAACTTTTTTTTAGAATGGGACGAACTGTAAATAATTCTTATGCTACTAGTTTTATACCTACCTATATACAGAGTGACCCAGGCCTCCAAAAAAGCTTTTTACCTATTTCGTTTTTGGTTTGTGATTTTTATTTCAATTTTTTACATAAGATGGGTGCCATTGTAACGCACATTTTCAAAACATTTTTGTCAACATACAGATTGACGACAGAGATCGGGACATTTATATTATAAGATTGGGACATTTAACTAAAATTTGATTATTTGATGAAGCTACCTTTAAAAGTAATGGATTTGTAAATAAATGTAATAGGTATTCATTATTATGCGACAGAAATCCCATACTGTAGCACACAGATTTTTTACTTTTAATGATAAATGCCTTCTATTGAGAGACTAAAAGGCAATTGCCTCGTATCAGAGCCATCATAATACAAGAAGAAGACCATCATAATACAAGAAGAATTATATTTTCAAAAAAAACACAGTTTTCTCATTAAATATTGATTTTATTGGTATAGGAAGTTATTAATAATACAAGATTAAACAACTATTACACAGTACTTCACAGGAAGCTATCGATTGCGAACTAACTAAATCGTTACTAATTACTAATTTTGAAAAGTTCTTTTTAAGATAAAAAAAGGTAAAACTAAAACCTAAACTGTCATTTGAGATTAAACGGGAAGTTCTAAATAATGAATATTTCTGTTTGCTGTAGGTAATTTTCTCAGGGAAAATAGGTAAATAAAAATGACTTTTTAAGTCAAAAAAAGTTAAAAAGACAAGTTATTCCTAAAAAGGACTGTCCTTTTCAAAAAAGGACAAGTGGCAACCCTAGGTATTTCTGGAATGGAAATTTAATGGCAAATCTACAACTTTAGTTTGAAAATATGTTCCGGCCACCTATGTTTACAAAAATGTCTAAAATGTGCTTTACCATTGCCTCCACATTCTGAAAAAAAAATGAAAGAAAAGTCACCTACTACAAACCTAATACCTATTTAAAAATGTTTCGGAAGCCTGAGTCACCCTGTAAATATTCAAAAGTAACTGAAAGTTTATATAGAAGTAACTGAAAGTTTAAATTGAAAATCGACGTTGGAGCGATTTTCGAACACTACTAACGTTTCAACATAAGTGTATGTGGGATATTAATTATATTATTATATTAGACCTTATAACAAAACTCATCTGACGAAAAAGTGTTAATGTAGTATATTAATATGGAGTAAAAATTTTACTCTCTAATTACTTTACTTTTACTTTATAATTAAATTCGTTCTAAAAAACGATACGCCACTGGCCATTAGAACAATCCAAATGCGCCTAGTTGCCGGGGTCGGAAATTTTAGACTTCTCTGTCTCTTCTGTCCTTGTTTGACACATTGGAATGTTTGATACACTACCAACGAGTATTTATGAATGAGATGTTCGGTCTATGTTTATAATGTCTTTGGGTAGACCGCTAGTTAGTCACTGTTTTACATGTTTTTGACTATATTGTAATTAATAATATTAGAAATTGATCGAGACGCGCTGTGATTGGTTTGGTTTTTATTGTTAATCCGGGTTAAGCGACTGTTTAAGAAAATCTACAAAATAAAATAGATATTTTTTGTAAACACTGCTGGGTTAATGCCAAGGATACTATAGAAATAAGGATAGTTCGATTCCTATCTTTCTGTACTGTCAGTTTTTTTACGTTTTTTAGGGACCGAGTTGAAGTTCGCGCTAAAGATTTTATACAGTGACAGTTATTTTTGCGTTTAACGGACGAGCGCACAGTGCGGCAGAAGATAAATCTAGCGGGACAAAACCGTTTGGTTAGAAATAAGCCAAAAATGTGTACTATATGAATAAATAGTAGACATTCCAATTGATATAAAAATGCATGAATTATTTTTAGGTCGTATATATTCTTTGTATTTCGATACATTTTTATCAACCAACCATATAATATCGCTCCTGAGATTTTGTCCCGCTATAATAACCATCCGCCGCACTGTGGAGCGCTGGTCCCTGCGTGACGTAAGCATCCACGGTGACTACGATAGCGGCTTTGACGTTATATCAAGTTCAACTTTGACGTTATATCAAACTTCAAAATTAACAATTACTACCTGATAAAAATATATTTTACATAAATAAACCTATTATAAATAAAACATTAAAAACAAATAAAAAATAATTATATACAGAAAGTTTGAGGCTTTTTGGTTTTACCTCATTAAGTAATTGTTATCAGAGAGAACAATTGTTATATGGTGACATTATTTGGAGTCATTTATTTGGGATAAAATTACTGTATTATAAATCACCATTTGCAAATAATGATTTGTTGTATCGCATGTCGACGCTATTATGCATTGGAAATGCATGAGTCGGAAACATTGAACTAAATTGTAAAAAATGACTTTGTTTTTGTATTTATTTCGGGAACAAATACTGTGAAGGCATTGATGTAGTATTTAAATCAGTTAAATATACAGGGTGGTTCGAATTGTATTCCGAAAACTTAGCAAGAAACGGTAGCATATTCATATTAACCGTTCTCAAGATATTTAGAATGGTAATAGTTAATACATGTCATTATTGACATAAAATAAACATGTTGAGTAAATAGTTATTTGATTGAAATGATAAATTTGGAAACTTTTTACTTTTTTTAAATTAATCATAATTTTTTCTTTGAAAAAATGATGCTAAAACAGTTTCTGTTGAACTTTTGGCACAAAAATATTTCAAATTTATGATTGCAGTATAATAACTATTAAGTTAACATGTTTAATTTATATCAATAATGACAGGTATTGATAATTTAGATTCCAAATACCTTGAGAACTATTACTCTTTTTACCAAGATACCTTTTTTGCGTAAAAAAAGTAGTAAATGTATATTTTTTTACCCTGTAGTTTTATACAGGTACGGACGAAATGTTATTACTCTTCAAACCAGTTAAAAAATATATAGGTGGCGCCCCCTATAAGTAGGAGTCATATTGACATCAAAATCAAATTTCTCATGACAAAAAATTGACACCCCAGACACCAATTTTCATCCAAATATTGACGTTACTTCAGAACTTATTTGGAAAAAATCGAAATAAAAATGAAACTTCTACATCCTGTATCTCCGAAACTAAGCATTTTAGGACATACATTTATACGAACTTTTTTACTTATTTTTATCTGCAGAATATACTGCCGAAGATTCCGGAATACAGTTCGGGTCACCCTGCATAAGAGAAAAAAAAATATTTTTTTATTAAAACTTAATTATTTTGTACCTCTAATTCGTAAAAAAATAATTTTACAGATACGCTGCTGTCTACATGTGTGCCGGAATTGAGAACTTGCTGGAGGAGATTCTTCTGCAGTGCCTACCTAGCGATTCAGACGTCAATTTGACAGCCACACTTTTAGAACACGCCATAGCCAATAATGGAGATTTGTGGGGATTATTACAGCCTTATACCCATCTCAATGCCGGAAGGATTGCTTCAGGTATGTATTTGTTGGGAGCAACAAAAAAATTGTGAAAACGTCGAATATTTTAGTCAAAAGTGTTTGGTCATATTACTACTTATACAGATTATAAACTTATCGTCAAAAGCATTGTTTTTCGTGGTTCCAATTTTCGGAGTCGCGCACTAGTGAGGTTACTAGTTTGCGCACATAGCACGCCAACTTATGGCCTCTAAAATTGTGCACAACGCATGACCGGCCCAGTTATTACGCTGTTTAAACACGAGTTTATTTTTGCGCACAGGAAATTACTCGTTTTCTCATTGTCATAAATAGTATCAGGTGGATGACACTTCTTATGGGAGAACTGGAAATGGTTGAAAACTTGACTACAAGCGATTTTCTAGGAATCTTCCTTACCGATAAATTATTGACAAGAGTGACAGATAAAACCTTGACATTCTTTCAGTATAACTGTTCATCTCTTTTTCTTTCTAAAGTGTGCGTTGAAAGGAGTTTTGTAACCCATAATTTGTTATTCGAACACCACTTTTCTCCTTGTCGGGTCGTTGACGTGACTTGTCGCCATTTTATTTCTTTTGTTTACACGCTGCAGTTTGCTTTGTAAATTGAATACATAAATTATTTAGGCAAATATAGGTTTTTGATAAAACTCCTTGGACTAACGTGTAGGTAAGTGTTGATAAATAAGTTTTTTTTCATCTTAACATGCTCATTGTCATTCTCCTGATTTAGGTGACAGAAAAGGATCATCAAATCAAATTGAATTTTATATTTTTTCATCCCAGGACCGATAATAAAATATATATTTTATGGATACCTTCCTAAATATCAACGAGATGAGCCATCGGAAGAAAGGGACCATAGTACAAAACAGAAGGGTGATCTTTTTTCTTTCCACTTAGGATATTGAAATTATTATATACTGTAGTCGTGTTCGGCATTATGCTCTGAGAAATATAGATAAACAAAGAACAACAGATATAAAGCATCCCAGAGGAAAAGAGAGGCAATACCTGTACTCTCTCTCTGATATTTGTGAAAGTTACGGCAAAGTATTGTTGTAAATGTCATCTTTTTAATCGACCTGAAAACTTCGAGCAAAAAGATGACACTTTCAACAATACCCTGACAGATATCAGAGACGATACAGGTTCTTCCTCTCTTTTCCCCTGGAATACTTTTAATTTATTATTCTTTGTTTATCTAGATTTCTAAGAGCACTATGAACGAACTCAGCTTGTATGTTTGAAATAATCGTCCAGCTGGCTAATATAACAATATATATATATATATATACAATAATCCTATATAATTCATAGATGGCTTCATTTCTAAGCCATCTATGACGCCATTTTTTTCAGTTTTGTTATAATTAATTTTGTCTCTTGATCTACTTGTAACATTATTCTTTTAATTTTATTAATTTATTTTGTTAAAATTAATTTCTGTTGTATATTTGATAATGATATTAAACATTTTTTAAAAAATGGTGTATTTTTTGTGTTTTTATGTATGTCATAATTAAAAATAAATGAAGAATTAAAAATTTTTATTTTTTTAAACTTCCCGCTTTGCGTTACAATCTAGTCCGTAGTTCCTACAAGCGATATTGGGGGCGCTAGTAGCAGTAGACTTGTCAACAGTGTCAAATTTAAACGTCAATTTCACTTTCCAATATTTAGCAAGGCGCTCGCACTTCTCCTTGTGTATGTGTTTTGTGAATAGTATATTACATACCGAGGAGGGAAGTGTTTCATTACTGTCTAGAGATTAACTAAATCTCGAGACAATAATGAAAACTTTCCTCCGAGGTTTGTATACTATTTTATTTACAACCACATCATTAATTAAAAAATAGGGACAGTAATTTATTTTGAAAAAAAAAATAAATATGCGAAAATTTGTAGTTTTCTGTTTTGGCATTTCCATATCTATAGTTACCGGTACCAATGGTTGTTATGGCGCAAAACTTCAACAGTCTTCAACTGCAAAACAAACAACTAAGTAACAGTTTTGAATTTCTCGTTTGCTTTTTTGAATTTATATAACATAGAAAGCCAGAATGTCGTCGGAAAGTTCTGATAATGAAGACTACTTTAATATTGGTACTACACCAGAACTTACAGAAGCTGCAAAAAGAGCAGAAGTCAGTTTACTTCCAGAGAAAAGTAGGGGGCGATATGAAATAGCATTGAAAATATACGAAAAATGGTGTGCCCAAAGAAATGCTAAGAATATTGCTTCGGAGACAGTCTTGATGGCATATTTTAGCGACATGGCAAGGTAAAAAAATTCATCTATTCTTGGTACTACGTACAGCATGATACGGACAATGCTAGAATTAAGGGAAAAGACTGACATATCAAAATATCACAAACTCTTCGCTTTTTTCAAACGCCAGAATGTAGGTTTTAAGCCGAAGAAGTCTAGCATTTTTACCATCAACAAATAAACGTACCTATCAAAATCTTCAATTATTATTGTTAATCTTTTTGTTTATTTTTGTTGATGTTAGATAAGTATTTAATACAGATATTACAAGAATATTTTGCTTAATAAAATGAGGCGAGAAATAAGAAAAACCGAGTGAGGGAAATGGGTGAGGGAAATGGGTGAGGGAAATGGGTGAGGGAAATGGGCGAGGGAAATGTGTGAGGGAAATCGAAGAGGGAAGAAATGTAGAATGTAGATAATTTGACACTTTCAAATTTTCTAAAAGTCAGTAATGTCAGTATTACATATGTGGTTGTAATTAAAAACAATTTTCGTACCACGAATTAGGGACAAGATTTTTATCTGTATACATATTATAATATACCTAATCTGTAGTACTACTAAGTTAATACTAAGTTTGGTTAGGATTTAAAGTTAGTTAATTTATTAATATTACATAAGAATTAATTCCATTATCGTCTAATTTTAATTTTTGAAAAAAATATTATCCATGTATTTTTATTTTATTTTTGTAAAACCCAGATAAAAATATTCAACTTCGGAATATTCCACAAAAGAATTGGGGCTAAGACCTGCAGCGGTAGTCGAGTCAAATTATTAAAAACAAGGTTTCGCTAAACGTGAATGTAAAAGTAATTTCGCAGGCGAATTCGAAATGCCATTCGTCGTTTAGTTGCCGATGTAAAATAAATACAAAGAAATAAACATAAACATGGAAAAGTACAGCGGGTAGCAGGACTAATATGGAAAGAGTACGGGGGAGGTCCGCATCCGTAAAATGGATCAATGAAAGCTGAACGAAAGTAATAAACGTAAATAACGTTTCATGCAATTTTTATTATATGGTAATCGCAAAACAATTTCTGATGCACGTGATCAACTGTGAGTGACAAGTGATGGCGCCAGCGTTGCCAGATTGCGATGGATTTATGAGATGAATCTTAATTTAAAATTGACAAACAACATATTTATTATATCATTTTTTAAAGAGTTTTACGTTGTATTTTTAATTTAATAACTAGTATTTTAGTGACTATTTGATTTATTTGTTTTATAACTTATTTTACTTATTATATATTGGCAAAAACTAGTCCATTATGAAGATTATTATAAGCGTTATTATGGGTTATTTATTTATTGATGTACATCTTACAACGCCATTAAGTGGTAATAACAAGTAAGATAAATGCTATTAATGCACAAACTAATAATCACAGAATTTAATTAAAACTAACTTTGAAAGTGGTATAAGTGTGTAATGTGCTTATCAATCAAACTTATTTTTCTGACTGCACTCAAGGGTAATAAAGGACTTTTATTGTCACGTTCTCGTTCAAAATAGTTTTTAAAAAACAGGGAAGCTGCAAGCTCTTTTCGTCGACGTTTAAATGCTTCGGTATATTTTCAACACACAATTTCAAGAAATGTAATACAAAAACTCTCAAAAAATTTAGTTCTTAAAAGAACCCCTCGTGTTTAAAAGTGCAGTTTTTAAAAAAGGAGTTTGAAAATAGGCAAAAAACGAGAATTCCTCACAAAGATTCAACAACAACACAATATTGTACAAAATAATGACTAATACTAAGATAATTGTCAAATAATAAAGGACAACATTGCTGAACACGGCGCAATGTCACCAACATAGCGATAATAAAATTCGGTTTAAACTAATTTTGGCAGCTTTAATCTAAACAAAATATCTGTTACGATCATTTGCTCCAGCAATTAAAATGAAGAGCTGCTCGGTATCTTAAATTATACAACAAATTGAAATATTTTTGGCAAAATTTCATTTAGTCATGTTTATAGACTTCAGTCGATATGATTGATGACGTGCATCGGAAAATGTTTTGGGATTACAATACGTACTTTTTTACGCATTGTAATTATTTTTTTTATTTTCCTTTTAGAAAAGTAGATCGCAGAATCTCGAATCTATAACCGATACAGATTAAACTTTCAGTTACGTAATCGAGGGCGCGATTTTTAAATTCATTGTTACCAACCATGGACATATTCAGAGCCAGGCTGACTACCGTAAAAAATGTCAAATTGCCACATTTGTTTATTTATTTTCTGAAATTGTCATTCGTTTTGACACTTTAGTTTTGTAGTACGAGTTTTTGGTTTAAATGAATTGTGTTGTGATAGTTTAAGTTGGTTTAAGCTTAAAACTTTTTACTAGCAGATCTTGCAGTCGAACATTGTTCTTTTTAGAACCTCTTTTGGTGCGAAGTGTATCCTAAAGCCTACTAATAGTCTAAGAGCTAGCAACGTTTTCGAGAAAGTATTTTAAGACGTCTGGCTCTTTGATATAGGCTGGCTCTCTGGAACAGCGTGCAGGCCGTCTGGCTGCCGATACATGTTGCGTTCACTACTGCGCATCCAAAGAAGATCCTATATTTTTTACTTAGCGCTTTAAATTCTAGTAATGAATAAAAACCGAGCAAGTCTCCATTAGCTCGGCGGGTAGAGCTTTCGCCTATGGTATGAAGCGAAGGTCAGTGGTTCGATACCGGCTGGGGATGCAACTTTTTTTTTTGTTTCGTTTATATTCTGAT